TGACACTACCTACTTGGAAACAGCAGCAGATCCCACAGGTTAAGGGGCTCAGTCCCCACAAGACTGACCCCACTCCACACCCACTTAAGATGCTAACTTTAAGACCAGGATATGACCTCTGCTTTTGACCGTCTGGCTCTAAATTGGAGGTTCCCATGACCTAATCCTCAGTTTCAATTAATTTGCTAGAGTGGCTCACAGAACTCAGGGAAACAATTTCCTTACTACATAACTGGTTTATTATAAAGGATGTAACTCAGGAAGAGTCAGATGAAGAGATGCATAGAGCAAGATATGTGGGAAGGGGAACATACTAGTATATGCTCCTGAGTGTGTCACCCTTCCAGCACTTCCATGTGTTTATCAACTCAGTTTTCTGAACCCCATTTTTTTTTTATTTTTAATGGAGGCTTCATTGGGTAAGAATGACTGACCAAATCTTGGGTCATCAGTCATTAACTCAAACTCCAGCCCCTTTTCCCTTTCAAGAGGTAGGGGTGGGTGGCACTGAAAGCTCCAAACTGACAATCAGACTTCATCCTTAGGGATTTTCTAAAAGTCACCTGTTAACATGAACTTAGGTGTGGTTGAAAGGGGCTTGCTAAGAATAAAATACACCTTTATCTCTTATCACTTTGGAAATTCCAAGGGTTTTAGGTACTCGGTGCCAAGAACTGGACAATAACCAAATATATATTTATTACAAATCATATTATCACCCCTACTTAATTCATTTAACACTATATTACAGGCATTTTTCCATGTCATTTCTAAGATTTGGCTCCTTCTTAATGACTTCATTGTACATACTGCATAAATATGCAAAAACATTTAAAGTGATACCCTCTATTTAACATTTCTAGTTTTCCAAAATTATGATGCTGCAACACATCTTTCTATAAACATCTGTTCATATCTCTAATAACTTCCTTAAAATAAATGACAAGAAGAGAATCAGAGGTTTAAAGCTGTGCTGTCCAATATGGTATTCACTAGCCACATGTGACTATTTTAATTAAAATAAAAAATTGGAAAACTCAGTTTTTCAGCTGTACTAGCCACATTTCAAGTGCTCAGCCAGATGACTGTTACTTTTTAATTAAATTTATTGGATGACATTGGTCAGATGACTGTTAAAATGCGGTAGCCGATGGCCAGTGGCAACCGTACTGGACAGTGTAAAAATAGAACATTCCCATCATTGCAGAAGGGTCTATTGATAGCCCTGGTCTAAGTTCATATAAAATATGATACCTATATCCCATAAAAATGATGTAGCAATATTAACTCCCAACATGAGTTCCTATATCCTCTTCTTGTCAATATGAGATCAATGTTCTCATCTAATACATGAGACATGTTTAATTTACATATACGTTATTAAAGTCTTTTCACATTTTTGGGCCATTTATGCTTATTTTTGTTGTTGAATTATCTGAAATTCGTCCATTTTAAGAATCAAGTTTAAAGATATCCTGTTCCCAATGACCTATAAAACCTAACCTATGTGCAGCAAGCAAAGAGACATTTCTTCAACTGTTTTGCTGGTTTCCTAATAATTATTTCACAAAGATATTTATCAAAACAGCGTAAAAAATAGCTAACAGTAGTACTACAGTTAGCTAAAGGCTGTCTGCACTCTCATAGGTTGTGTTCTTACAGTGAAGTTAATGGTTTACATTTCTATAAAATAATGGCTATCACTAGCATATTATTTCTAGGAGATACTGTTATAAATTTTAAAATTAAGCTATGAAAACATATGGGATGATATAAAGTATATAAAATGTTTGTTTTTTAAAAGTGATTATATTTATACAAAACTCTGGAACAGGAAAAACCAACCCATGGGATAGGAACCAGAACAGTGGTTCCCTTGGTTGGTGGGGGCTGGGAGAAGGAATGAATGGTCAAGCACATAAAGGGAGTTTCTGGCATAATGGAAATATTCTTTAAAAAAAAAAAGTTTTTATTGATGTTGATAGAGAAAGGGAGAGGGAGAGAAAGATAGAAACACTGATCAGCTGCCTCCCGCACACCCCTGGCCGGGGATTGAGCCTGCAACCTGGGCATTCCCAGACCAGGAATGGAACTAGGGACCTCCTAGTGCAGTGATGGTGAACTCATTTTTTTGGTTGATTTTTCTTTGTTAAATGGCATTTAAATATATAAAATAAATATCAAAAATATAAGTCTTTGTTTTACTATGGTTGTAAATATCAAAAAATTTCTGTATGTGACACGGCACCAGAGTTAAGTTAGGGTTTTTCAAAATGCTGACATGCCGAGCTCAAAAGGTTCTCCATCACTATCCTAGTGTATAGATCAACACTCAACCACTGAGCCACACCAGCCAGGCAGAAATGTTCTCTTTCTTAATAGGGGTGTGAGTTACATACAGCTGTCAAAACTCAATGAACTGTACAGGACAAAACATAAACAGTTTCACTATATGTAAATTATATTGAATTTTTTTAAAGTTTAAAAGTATGTGCTGTTTAGAATATATAATTGATAGGCAATAAAAATTTTAAATATTTCTAGAACTTAAAATGTGATTTCCTAGCCAGGAGAGACAAAAAGTTTTGCAAATTGGAAATGGGGTGCAGACTATGTATAACACTTGAGCCAAACCACTCAACTGTCAAACCAACAACACTAGAAAATTCACTGTACTATCAGGGCAAATTATATTAAGGCATCAGAGAATTGCTACCATTTAAACATACATATTTTTCTAAAGTCTACACCAGTGATATGGAAAATGAACCAAGCATTCACTTTCTGGAAAATCATTTCCCTAATGTCATCAAATAGCACTTGATTTAATTTTCCGAGTCATTTCTGCTGAGGTAGTTTATGAACTTGACTCATTTTTGCCCTTTATCCTCCTCTACTGGTGGCATACACTAGCACAAAAGCTAACCCATGCATATTAAAACCAATAGATTTAATATCTCGGCCCATTACCAATCTATCATAACCTGTTCAGCAAGTGAGCTCCTCAGAGGCTAAACTACAGGTCTTTTGTTGTTATTAATCCTCACACGAGGATAATTTTTCCATTGATTTTTAGAGAGAGTGGAAGGGAGAGGGGAAGGAGATGGGGGGGGGGGAGAGAGAGAAGCGCTGATGTAAGATAGACACATGGATTGGTTCCCTCCCACATGCCTAGCTGCCTACCGCACACCAAAGCCAATATTATGGTAACTCTTCAAAGGACCTTGCTCATGAGATCAGAAGGATATATGGAGGACACCAAGAGGAGGGGGTCCAGAGGCAAAGAAGCAGGAAGGTGTACATTTTATTAGTATTGGCTTTGTAAGAAACCAGCTAATTTTGTTATTAAATTCTATATTATATTTTCTTTGGCATCAAACAAATCTGGGTTTGAGAATCAATTCTGCCATTTATTAGATGGGTGATCTTGAGCCAGTTACTTTACCACTCTGAACTCGGTTCTCTTACAAAGGATGCTAACAGTATTTGTTTCATAAGGTGTGTTGTGAAGATTAAATGAAAACACAAGTAACATTTTAGCTCAAGCAGCTGGCACATTATAAATGCTTAACAAATTATAGCTACCATTAGTATAGCTACTATCATAGACAATTCCGTTTCTTGAGAACACTATGTAAATGATACAGGCCCCAGAAACTCCCCTCTGTAACCGAACCACCACCAGGATATTCAGGCAGTCATTTTTTGCTAACAAGGTACTAATATAAATAAACAG